AGGAGGCTTGGAAGACGAAACCAAAGAATCTAGACGAACCCTGGGAGTCCTGCAAGACTGCTTTCTTTGCCATTCCAGATGACTTCATCAACAAGTTATTTCAGTCATTGCCAAGACATATGGATGCGGTCCTCCAAGCTCATGGAAGTCATACATGTTATTAATTCTTTCTTCGAAGGCACCATGACTTTTATGTTATGATGTTATTGTAGCATGTTTGTGTATTCTAAATAAAGTATATGTATAATTTCTACATTATTTTTGTATATGACAAGACTTTTGTCCAGGCAAAAGTTGACCTTTCTGTCCTAATTACATGACAAAACTCAATGAATTATGAAAAACTTTATTTTGGTATAATAAGCATAATCTAGAGGGCTTTGCCTTTCTTATAAGCTATTTCTGATTCCAATTGATTAACTACAGGTCAAGTTATTATCTGTTGTTCCTACAACTTGGTTAAGTGACAAGACTTTTGTCAGGCACTGTATATATAAATATAAAATACTGCCGGCTTTATTATTCTTTATTTATTCATCCTCGGGGAGGGGAGTCACCTATACAGTTCCAGTTCCAGAACTACAGCAATCCCAATGGTAAGTATGGCTCTGTATTTACGTGTGGTCTCTTGTTTAAAACAACACAATTCAATATAACATAAATACAATTATTGTAACCAATTTATTATTGTAAAGCACATGTGAAAGTAAAAAACAAATGAAATTTCAGTCTTACCTTATCCACATAATTGGCAACTTCTAAAATTCTTTGTTTGGTTATTCGAAGGTCATTTTGTCTTTTGAACTGAATTACAAAAATATGACAACAGAATCACAAAGCTGTCTGCTATTATCATAAATACAAACAGTTCAATTGCTTCAAGAAAACAAATGAGAGATTTCATAAAAAAAAAACAAAACAAAAAAGCCAGTTCCAGTTGATAGGACAGTGTTCACTGATTATTTGTTTGAGTCTAATTCCAGTTATAACTCGATAAATAGAATATTGGATTATTCAGTCAGTTCATTCTTTCACTCCATCATGAGTGTCAGGAGTGCAGTTTGCATTGCTCCTTCTATTTCTGTGCCTGTGATTAGAAGGTCACCGGTTAAAATCCAGTGGCTGTTGATCCCTTGAGTGTTAGCTAAATAAATTAAGTAGAATTCTTAAGTAAATAAAAATTAAGAAAAATGTGTTCTGCTGATCTAGCCCATTCACCTCAATGTTCAGTGTCTTGTTTTTCAAAATTGCTTTTCTGCTTGCCAGCGTTGTAAAGAGTAATTACAATCGAGCCTTCCGCATCAGGAGGGTTAGGGGTGCAGCCCCCCCGAGATCTGGAAAAACCACATCAAATTTCTTGGTCCTCTTGATGAGTGAAGCAAAGTGTTTCGGATTTTGGTACAGTTTAGGGCACTAAAATGCACAAAAATATGTTTGAAATGCGAGATACAAAGATCACTGCGAAATGTCATGTGAAAGCCTGCTGTACACACACTTGGTGTCCTCCAAACCAGCACTGTACGGTACATATATTTTATGCATTTATGAGTGTCATATGTATACAGTGGTACCTCAGAACTCGAATTTAATCCGTTCAGAACTCCGGATCGAATCCTAAAACGTTCGAGTTCTGATCGAATTCTCTCCATAAGAAATAATGGAAAACCAATTAATTGGTTCCCGACCCCAAAAAATTACACCTAAATGTATTTTTTTTTTTAGCATTTAAACACAAAATGAACCGGATAAAACAAGAAGAGCGTATACTATACTAAACACATCTAAGCACATTTATCAAAACAGTAATTTGTAAAGTAAGAAAATAAATATGTCCTGCCCCGATCGTCCGCTCCTTCCATGTGCCACGCCATCTCGTTAACCCCGTGTGGAATTCCCGTGTGATCAGCTGTTTCTGGTTGTTTTCATTAGCCCTCTGTATTTCATCTCCGTTTCAGTTTGTTTCCCCAGCCCGGTCATTGTATTGTCCATCTGCGTTTTGCCTGCCTTACCTGTAATTAAACCCGGTATTCCCCGATACCCTGACGTCTGCGCCTTTGTCTCCGTTCCATCCCTGCTGGGCATGACAATATTATTATAATTAAATGTATTAATGGTTTATTATTAGTATTAAAATAATGAATAAGAAATATTTATTTTAAAATGTATTTTATTATAAAATAATAATTATTGTTACTGTCTTTCATTGTCTAAATGCATTTTTACTGTCTAAATATATGTATTCAGTTAGTGTAAACATGAACGGTGCTATCACAGCAAATGCTAGGCTGAGACTGAAGCGTTACCCTTTGTTTCCACTGAGAGACGTGCTGCATGACTCATTTCCCTGCCCGTACAAGTTCTTAGGTTGACGTTCACAGTTTGACTTCTGAGATTCAGAGCTCTAGGTAATTTTTTTTCGAACTGGTTGGTTCGACTTTTAAGAAATTCGAGTTCTAATGAGTTTGAGAACTGAGGTACCACTGTATTTGTGTGCCATCTGCAGCTATAGCAAAAAAAAAATCCCATTTAATTTCTTATGCTAGCCCTGTGATATATCGAAACCACGATGGGGAACGTTGAGATGCAGCAGGGTTGACTGTATTTTAATTATTCTGGTCATTCTCTACTGACCTATCTCATCAATAATGCAATTCCACAGAACTGCTGGCCTAATGTTTTGGGAAGTACACTTGCAGTTAAAAGATTACTGGTTTGAATCCCCAACCAGCAAGGTAATACTGAGGTACCTTGAGCAAGGTACTGCTCCCTGGGTACTGAATTAGCTGTCCACTGCTATGTCACACATGGGTTAAACACAAGGGACATGTTATGTTGTTGTGCACTGTGTGCCAACAATGACTAATCACTTCACCTATCTACCGTTACTGGGTGTGTTTTGTTTTTTGCACCATTCTGTGTAATGTCTAGAGACAACTGCGTGTAAAAAATCCAGATCAGCAGTTCCTGAAATACTCAAACCACCCCGTCTGGCACCAACAAACAGGCCATGGTTGTCACTTAGATCACATTTTTCCACTATTCTTGGCCTGTGTCTGCAAGGATTTATATATTGTTCTGCTGCCACATGGATGGCTGATTAGATATCTGCATGAAAAAACAGGTGTACACGTGTTTGCAGTACATTGGCCAGTGAACATATATAAATATTCTTCTCTACATATGTTAAATTCTGCTTATCATGCTGCTTTAAGGTTAACTACAAGGTATGACACTCAACATTGTACTCTTTATGAGAAGTTGGGCTGGTGCTCTCTAGAAATGCATAGGCAACTTCACTGGCTTTTATACAGTATGTGCATATTAAGGCATTACTGGCTCCTTGTCATCTTATTTGACTGTCTACTTAAACATTTCCAATGTGGGTACCTATTCCTAGCACTCTAGCGATTGTTTGCATCTACTAGTTCCCAGAGTTTGCAGCACATTTGGCTCGACCATTTTTTTGTTTGTTGCTCTGGCTGCATGGAATTTTGCTCCAAAAGATTATAAGACTTAGAACACCTGTCACCTAAAATTTGTGTTGCGAAGCATTTTAAAACTTGAATTAGGTTCATGTAATTGTTTTTAAATTCATTGCTTTAATTATTTTTATTGAATTTATTTTTGTTTTATTGTATGCTTCCGTTATCTGTGTTTATGTTTCTATTGTCATGCCACCATTTTGGCCAAGGACCTTTTGTAATATAGATCTTGATGTCAAAGGGTCTCCCTGGTTAACTAAAGGTAAATAAGGTAAAATATATTGGTAATGCTTTATTATGTGTACCTTCATAATGCCTTTATTAAAGTGCATTTGTAGAACATTCAATTCACCTTCATAAGGCATTCAAAATGCATTCATAGTACACGTTTTAGTATACCTTAACATCCTAACACACCTTAACAGCTTTAATGTACATTAATAACAAACATTATATGATAAAAACAAACATTATAATCATATAATGTTTGTTATAAAGGTATATTAAAACACAAATCACAAGTTCACAAGTACACAAGTTGTTTGTGTTTTTTTGTCTTTGTTAGAACTTTTTCATACAGAGTAGCAAAATTGTGTTTCATTGTACATGTATAATGTCAATAAAGTTTCATTCATTCATTAAAACACACACTACATAAAGCTGCCCACATACTTAAAAGTTAATGTTCAGTAGGAAGTCCAAGTACCTTCTGATTGGAAGCATGCCAACATTACGCCCATTTTCAAAAAAGGGGATAGAAGTAATTTGTCAAACTATAGGCCAATC